TCCCACATTCTTGGTTTGCCCGTGATTGAGAAAACAATATTTGGTATGAAGCTTGCTGATTTATTTTCTGCCCCATGACTCTGTTGTATTCAACCGTCTTGGAAATAAAGAAGGACAGGACCACTTGCTCACGCAAAGAACAGACCTTGGCGAACCACACAGACTCTGGCAGTGAATAAATGCAAAACACGACGAAGGTACTGTGGCAACTTCGTCTTTAATCGCTACGCAAACGCTTAAGTTCTTTGAAAGCTAAGCCTTTAGTTTCGAAAGCATTCGCAGGCAGCTGCATCGGTGAGGTCGCATGGAACCAATGATACCGAACAGTTTTTTAAAACAAATCCTGCATTGGTTGTTGATGGAAGAACTGAGAGGTGGATAGATATGAAACTATGACACGAAGACATAATTTAACTGATTTCGACCACTGCTTAATTTATCACACCTAGTGGAAGTCCTTAAATGCAGGTGGAGTTCATTCCAAGATCCAAAAGTTCTTAAAACTCGGACATAAATGATCCATTCGTCGAAATTACCGAAGCGAATCAACTTTATGGAGACACACAACCCGTTGGGAAATTTGCACGATCTGAACACTAATCGGACTAATTAACATGGAACTGGATTGTGAGTATATAATTGTTTGAAATCCCAACTACTTAGTAAATCACAAGTAATATGAAGTTGATGTAAATTTCTGAGCCCTAGTTAAGATCAGTCATTCTGCACCAAGCAGGTAAATCTCAGCTAACAGTATATGCATTTATACAGAATAACTTCGGATATCCGTTCACGGCTCCCTCCTGGTATGCGCTTACCGTTTCACTAACATTGAGAGTGACGTAATAACGTCCCAGATTTAGCGTGTTCAAATGAGCAAACCTTGGTGAGCTAACATGACCCAGTGGTGTGCACCAGCATGTTTCAAAGAGCCAACAGTTTGAAAGGGCATCAGTTAGATTTGAACAGTATTTGAAACGATTATGACTAAATTTTCAGTCTTTTCACTCGAGGAGAATTTACAGCGCAAGTTAGTGATATAATTCTATCGTTCATGATGCATACGTAGTCAAATTTCCGATATCGACGTCTTGGCATGGTCAGTGGACACTGCTTTTTCGTGTATATCGATGCTCCCGAGTGAATTTCATATGTTTCATTTTTTGAAGATGCCCTACTGCAGAGTTATTTTCACCACGTTGAAATGGTGGAGATGGGTGCCGGGCTGATGATTAGCTGACTGATGAATGAGTAATTCGTCTGACTGGGGATATGGCCCTCAAAATCAATATCGGCGAGAACATGCAGCTGTCCTGCCGGATTGGGTTGATGAGATTACTTTTGGGTTTCAGTGATTGTGATGGCAGTGCTGACCAGCTGTTCGCGCTACGTTCCCAGCCAACTTGCACGCTTCATTGGGTTGTGGGGAATTCAGTCAGGTGGCCCGGGGGACGCGACCCAGAACTGTTCACAGGCAACGACATGCCTGGGTAGACGAGTTTTACTTGTTCTAAATGATTATACTGGCAGCTCGGTGTTGCAATATACTTCACCAATCGTGAATTACGAAGTTTGTGCTTGGAATCAAGAAACCTCAAGGTTTGCAGTCGCTGCTTTCAAGAACATCCCAGTGAATTTGACTGTTACATCATCTTATACATTGACATCTTTTCTCATGGGCTCAACCATGAGGAAAGACTCGTACCAACCGCTAAAACAGGTGAGCAACAATGCTAGACATCCAGATAGGGGCTGGTGACTAGCAAGCTTGAGTTGGCGGACGGATGACACTCGGCCTGGATCGAACCGACACTGTTGTAATCAGAATATTCTCAGAAATAGCCTTTTCGGCATCCCCGCACACTTACTGGTACCGAAACAACCGTCACGCATATTGACAGTAGACTGGTGCGCACACAAACAGCCTTTATACGTGAGGAATACGGAAGCACAGGAGGTGTAGAATCAACACACTAGCGAGATAGGCCTTAACTTCACTTCATTGCAAAAAGCATCAACACCGAACAGCTGAGTTCCATGAAATTCCGAGCAGTGGTTTTAGATGAACTGGATGTCACTAACGTCCCCAGTGATGTGAAAAGCCATTTGGTTCCTGTGGCCAACTGGTATGTAGCTCTGAGATTACCCATAAATTACGCTACACTGTGGACAAGTGAGGCTACTCAAAACGACTCTGCGTGTGTTGGAACAAACCGTTTATTCGAAAACACGACGCAAGCCGGTCTGACCGTAGTGACTGATTTCTGCACATTCCGTGGAAGGACAACATGATTTATCAGGAAGGAGTAAAATACACACTATTTGGACAGGTTGCCGATTTCCAGAAACTGTTTCACATCAAATTTTGGCTTTAGTAAAGCGTACGCCGAAATGAAATTTAGTGTGCACCAAGAATAGCTAGAATCTCAGCAACCGCAGCAGAAAAACAGAGCGGTGGACCCGGGGTGAGAAGTGAGGTAATGGATTATGTGGTGTCCCGTAAGAGGTGCCCACTAATGAAAGGGGACATGACAGAGGCAACCAATCCCACCCACAAAACCTACCGTCTCAGAAATCGACGAGATGTGGTCAGGGGCCAGCGGGAATCAATACACCATGATAATTACAGAACACCTGTCGCGGTGGATTAAGGCGACGGGCGTGCCTAATCAACGGGCAATGACGATCAGCGGAATGGTAATGCATCACATCGTGGCCAACCATGGGGTGCCAAAAATGATCCTAACCGATCAAGGACCTTGCTTTGAGAGCGAAGAGTTTCTGGATTGCTTGTAGAAGCTGGGTGTCAGACAGCTGAGGACAGCACCATACCACCCACAAATAAATGGCCTAGCCGAGCGATCAAGGAGTGGCTGGTGGCCAAAGGAGGTTAATGGCATATTCGATAACTCCATTCCTCTGCTTTAGGACTGCACCGATACCACGATCACTAGCGTCCGTTGCAACAGTGAACATCTCTCCGACCATAGGTAGTTTGAGGGTCGATTGCTGATCCAACATCCGCGCCTTGACACGCTCAAAAGCCTCATGTGCTCCTCCGATCCAATCGAATTTCCGAGCAAGTTGTACAGTGGCACAGCGATCGTGTTGAAATCCTTAACAAACCTGCTGTAGTATGCTGCTTGTCCAAGAAACTGGCGTAGAGACCGCTTTAAATTGAGAACAGCACAATCCTCGATCATTGCCAATTTTTCGAACAGTGAAATAACTTCTCCGTGATTCACTATATGCCCCAGCAGTGTCACCGAACTCCGCAGCAAAGGCCCTCTTCCTTTCATTTGGTCGTCCAACTTCCCAGCCCTCATTCAAATCAAACTTAGGTCATTGAGACTGGCCCAAACTCAATACCATCAACTTTAGAAGAACAAATAAACCGAAATTTTCTGCGGTGGTCAAGCTGCTGAAGGAAGTTGAGGATATCTACGATGATATGCTTCCAATTAAGATCTCTAATCTTTGCACTTCGACACCCCAAATCCAATGCGCAGGCGATTTTATTGATTCTGAAGAACTGTTTCGTGTTGTTGAAATAATTTCACCTCACTGGTACTCCCGATTTCTCTCCCCAAAAATGGATCATGTTGAATATCGTGGAATCGTTTTTAATGCCATTGATGCCAGAATAAATGTGTCCCGTCTGTTGCGGAGATGGGAATTCACGCTCAAGGCTGGATCAAGAAGTATTCTGGCCTACCTGTGTGGATCAGATTTGCTCTTCACAACAAATGCTAGGACATCAACTTACGTTGCATTGGCTCACAGTGGAGCAGCGTTTGCTTCGGTTAATCTTACATCATGAAACACATAGCTCGTATTGATCTGTAGGGCGAAGAGTTCACCCACTCTGACATGGTGCCCGGCATACGACAAGAAAGCGAAATGTTACCGGATCTAGCGAAATACAAATTTGGTCCGCAATTTCCAACTTAGCTTCAAGTAGAACATAATGTAGAGGAAAACTGGGGGGAAAACTGAGGAGCGTACCTAAGGAGCCCCAAGAAGAGTGAAAGCGGTCGTGATCTGTTGACGAATTTTCAGCTACCTTATGCTTAGTGCATCACCGGATCTCTTTAACGCCACATAAAGTGGTGGTGAACGGATGCTGTGTTGTTGAGTTACGTGATGCTACTCAACAGGTAGCTTAAAGGAGAAAGTGAAAAGCGTATCAAAACAGACCTCCTTGCTTTCATGCAACCGAATGCTATCCTGTGCGACAGGAACGAGACTGGTTTACTCAAGAAAATCTGGGTCTTAAGACTAGACATTCACTTAGTCCTGGGTTTTGCCTGCGGAACAAGTTCGCTGCCAATCGAGAATGAGTGAACGCCGGGGAATTTTGATCACTTGTGCTTCCAAAGCGTAGTGAGATTTCGCGGTCTGAGAGCGTCAGAGCAGAGAGGTCAGTCAGTATGTTCACGAAGTATCACGCCCAATTCAGGTCGTTCAACGACGACCGAATTACGGTAATGAAGTCCAATTGCTAGGAAAGGATTCTGGTGACGAAAGGCCGAAAAAGCTAAGAATAACTGATCATTCTTATAGGACCTTATCACCAGTACGCATTTCAAGAAAGTTCAGGGGTGGGGTCACGTCATCGTTTGACTACTAATGGCTGAGCAGTAGCGCGTATCTCGCATTTATAATATGGCCCCATTCATTTTTCACTCACGGAATCTATATTTCATGATCTTTTTTTTTTACTAACTCCTTGAGTGACGAGTTGTCGGCCATAGGTTTCACTAAGTTGTCCTTGTTCTGAAATACTCAAAGGTTGCTACAAGTGTTAGTAGATCTAGAAACTTTTGTCCTATGTGAGGCCATCCTGTGTGCTGGAAAGCAGAGAGGTCTTGTACAGCGTCTTAGACAACCTGGCTTCTCGGGATCACACTGAGGAACAGAAGTGAACGCAATTTATGACCTGAAATTCCTCCAACTCATTGCCACTGTTGGGAACTGGGACAAAAAAGGTCGTATTACCAAATAATGTGGATTATAACAAAAACACCATTGAACTGATCAGAATGACATACCGTGCGATAAAGTTTTGGATTTTCCATCAGCTGATCATAGGTTAGGTGTCGCTCAAACATTCCGAACAGGATGTAGACCAATGACGTCAGCGTCAAGTTGTACAATCCAAAAATTATACTGGAGAACCAAGCGTTTGCCGAGAATCCAGAGTAGAAGGACAGAAGGACATTGGTGGTCACGAGAGCCACACACTTGAAGTAGAACAGGAGCATAGTGTGACTGATTCGATAGTAAGCCCAGTGCCCGTGCACAAGTAGAAGATTTTGCAGAAATCTGGTGGAAGATGTTAGAGGAGACAACACAGATTTACCGGTTAATTGATTACCAACAAAGCTGTCATTCAGTCTGGAGAATTCACGACGGCTCTTGTGTATGAGTTTGGGCCTTAGTGGGACGAGATGGCTCAGTGGTAAGAGCTCGAGTGACCGTAGTTCGAACCTCTCGACTCCCTCTGTCTAGGCTTGGGCACCTGGCAGTATCCCAGCCCTTATGCTTCCTTCGGGTAGCATGGCAGCTAGGCACCGGGAGGGTGTTACAGCTGAACGAATTTGAGGCCTTGATTTTAGACATAGAGCGCAAGAATTTGCATGGCAATCAGACCGAATTTCTTGGTCCTGGGCTTCGAATGTAGGTAAAACCGAAGACAAATTTCCTTCGCAGCACCGCCAGCACCCAAGCAATACTCTGTGTTAAAGAAGGATCAATTTTTCGATTGATTCCAATCCGAGAGACCATTGTATCGGACGCTTACTAGGATTTGACGGTAAAGTTCTCATGTATGTAGTGCACTATATTGTCTGAAATCGTCAGAAAACAACCGATTCTGAAGAAACGTTCTATAACCCAGTAAATTAAGGTGGCAACAATGAAAGAGCCACAAATGCTACGTAGACGTGCGGTTTCTCCTGTCGTAGTAGGATTAATCTGCAGTCCTTTCACTTGTACCCGAGGGAGGATTCAAGGAACCCGAGATGAGCATATGACTTGGCCCTGGGTATTGATACTTCCAAGTCTAAACTTCAAGGGTGCAGTTATGCTTGCTCGTTGAACAGCACATTGGTGACTTGGGTTTCCGATTCATCCAGAAGCATAATGTGGCATGTAACTTTGTACACGAAAAAAAGTTGAACAAACATGTCCCCGAACCTAACTTGATATCATGATAACTGTCAAATTCGTTGGCTTACTCCAACTGCGCACCCCCACCCCGTCGGCCCGCCACGCACCTCGCCTCAAAGGCCATCCCGTCCGACACTCGGATATCAGCGTGTGTGTGAGAGAGAGTGCATGTCCGACTAACCCACTTACGCATGTGTTTTCGTGCCCTATCCGTTCTGACCTGTTCTGACCACCGTGTTATGACACCGCCAATTGTCCTCAGAAGGGACGTTTGTAACCAATCCTAACCGGACAGAATTTCGCTCTACCTTCACACGAGCCTGTGCCGGTGATCGAAAGACTTGCACACATGTAGACTCTACGAATGTGAACAACTGAATTCTGTGGGTCGATTTCCTCACCTTTATGTGTTTCGGATTCCAGTACTTTGTTTTTATGTTGGGGATCGTCCAACCTACGCGTGACTGAAATCCCCCCTTATCGGGAACATCAACGGGTGTTAGTTTTCATAAAGGAAACCACTCACAAGGTTGCTGAAAACTCTTCGACAGCCCACGATCGGTTTCGCCCTTCTGGAAACTCGCCAGCTAGGCACAGTCACCGAGTTTTCGTCAATCTTAGTTTTACTTGGGACCCAAATCGAACTGTTTTCGAGAAATACACTCATTTGCAAATCAATTTGTTTTTCACGAGAAACTCACCTGAATCCCTCGTTTATGATATTTAAGTTAGATATTCAAGTAGTACATAAGGTTGACGGAAACTCCGGGACTGTGCCCACCTGATGAGCACCATGAAGGGCGAAACCGGTCGTGGACTGTCGAAGAATTTTCACCAAACCTAATGAGTAATGTATTACTTCAAAACAGCAGCCTTCGGTTATTTCCCCGGGAATTACTAGCTGGTAAGATATTCCAAAGCAAGCTATACGCTGATTAAAAACCCGATTCGTTTGGTGCATTACTCGACCGGTTTATCGACTCGCAGTAGCCGGTGAATTGAGTAAACTTTGCCTCAGTGGGAACATCTGACATAAAATCAGAGTATCTCTACCCGCATGCTTTAATCGATCACGTGACGGTCTTACGAGTGCATGAAATTAAAAACGTAGAAGCCAATAGCGCGTTGAAAGCAGGCTAACCAAACTCAGCATAGTCAGCGTTCTCATTAAATTTCTATTTGACGCTCGGTAGTGTTTTCTTCAACTGAACATCCTAATCACTGACGATCTAATGATTTCCGCCTTTGAAAACCAGGCTATTTTTGGCTTCCGAACATTTTTGAACTGCGCCTCACTCAGTTGAGGGAAAGATCACCTTCAGAGAAACCCCAGCATTTCATAAACAGTTGTAACGGGCATAGTTCTGCCTGTGTGCACTTTAAAGTGGTGATCAAGGCCGTTGTTAGAGCAGAAAATAAGTACTAGGAACTTTGGATTTCGGGGACTTTTGTATTAGTATCTTCGGCGGCCTCTTTGAACAACCGATTAGAACACAACATGTGGGCTTCTGAATGTCTGTTGTGACTGCACACACAGAATGGCGGTTCGTCAGTTTCAAAGTGAGTTTCTGTTGTGACTTGATGAACGATATTGCAACTCTGTATCGGTCCCTTGGCTTCCTACTCTGCACACTATGGTATATCAAAAGGCACGGTAGCTCTAGACAGTCCTTTATGGAGACAGTTTTGCACAAGGTCGTACCAGAATCTCCGTGATTCAAGTCAAAGGTGCTTGAGTCGGATTGGCCGGCATTGTGACCAATCAGGACATGTCTTCGTTTGACCCGTTTCCTGCACGTGACACATCCGTCCAAATGATGCGATGTTCAGTCATTGGGGGCGACTGGCCTCCGGAGAGTTTCATAGGTCTGGCACAGATCTGTAAAGCTTGTAATTGGATAAGGTGCCCGATGGCGGACTAACACGTACGAAGGAGAAAGATACAGTACCGTAACCATGCTGCGTGGATCGCATTGCGCTTCCTTCCGGCTGGCTTGTCTTCCCCTGTCACCCCAAAAAGTAGCAGTTTATCCGGTCCATAGAAGTGTCAAACTACTGAAGATGTATGTATAGACGTTGTACACTACTCATAAGGTTGCTGAAAATTCTTCGACAACCCACGACCGGTCTTATCAAGTGGACGCAGTCCCCGAGTTTCTGTCAACCTTATATTCTACTTGCAACTAAATTGCACGTAATTAGCGAAGTACACTTATTTGTAAACAACTTTGGTTTTTGCGAGAGATTCACTTGGAACCCAGCTAAATCTCTCGTTTATGATGTTTTTAAGAAGTAGGCTGCAGCAAACTAACGTATAGTTCCAACCCCACCAATCAACAAACAGGAACATCAGACTGAACACCCAGCACTGATCACGTCACTAGTCATAAGCCATCTCACGGATTGGTTCCCTGACTGCCTTAAAACCCAATCAACCTACTTAGTTACTCACTTAGCCTGACGAAGCCTTTGTGTCAAAAGCGAAACGTTGCCCAGCAATAAATCCACCGATTGTTTACCAAACCCCTCTGAAACGTCGGTCTCTTTTCAAGAAGCGGATCCGTGTTCTCTCCAAATACTTGGTCTGTATTTTCTCGCAAGATGCGCACTACTGATGGTTACCAAGAAGGATAAAACAGCTGTCCAGTGCTTCTCGGCGTCACGACATAGATTGGCTTCACCCCCTCACATTGTTGTTGACAATCGATCTGTTCATCGACCTTGGGTAGTAGGCTGCAGACGTTTCCGCACCTTGCGAGAGGACACGATCAATACGCATCGAGCATGTCCCCTGGTATAGTAAAATACACGTTTGAAGGTCAACTGCCAAGCTCAGTGAACGAATCAAGAGCCAGTATGCTCACCCAAGCACCAACATGGCCGTGGGTAGAGGACACGTTTTTCTCAGGGTAGTAGGCCTGTCGGTTTTGAATAAAATTCTTTGAGATACTAACTAAACCCCAGAGAATGCTAGGTTTTTTTGGGGATATGAACCAACTGAGGTCATTGACCGCACAGCTGATGCGTCGCGTAAAGGTGGATCTCTGGAGACCCCTTTGCACTATACGAACTGTATCAAATTGGCTCTCGTTTGATTAAGATTACCCTTGTTTTAATTTGATCCTGTTGGCTGCTGGTGAGAGGTCTAATCGCTGATGTACCTAGTGGGACTGATATGTGAGTTGCGCTTGTCAAGAACACTCAGTGAAACAACACAGTACGTGCATACCTATAAGCAACGGTAGTTGCCAGCTGTTGGTTTACCAACGCATGAACTCAAAACTTGTTGCAGGTAGGATGATGGAATGACTCGTTCCATCTATGGACATTCACACTTTTTAACCTTGTTATCTATGACGGCATATTTTTCCAAGGTCATCCAGCTATAGCACACAATCTGTTGCATTGGCAGGGGGGGGGGGCACAGCCAGCTTCATTACAATCAAGGAATGCAAAAATCATTCGTCCAACTGTTCACTCCTGAGTGTAAAAAATGTGTAAGAGCGGACTGCACAACACATCACACCGGGATAAAGGTGTCAACGCAACCAGATAAACGGCGATCTGCTCCAATCTTTGGAATGCGTCTACACCGCTCCACATAGTTTCCTCTGACACTGTTCTTCGCTGATCGATAGGTGACCGGAAAGTTAGCGGTCACTGGTATTGCAATGATTTTGCATGAGCAACAGGAATGTGTGCTTTCTGCGTTGAAAACAACAACGGTCAGTCCCGTCAGGACAGCAAAAATCAGGGTCTACATTTGCATGTAAGGTTTCCCGTCCCAATATGAGCAAGGAAGACAGCTGCGAAATTAAAAATTCCGTCGATTAGATTCAGCTTGTAAGAAGCCGCAGAGCTTAGTGAGTTGTTTTTAAAGCTTCAGAAATAGTCAACAAACTTTGGATCAATTGGACAAAGTCTGCAATCGATTGAGAAGTCATCGTTTCACGGGTGGACAACAAGCTGCCAACCAAAAGTTTATGAAACGACCATCTTTCAGACAAATCGATTTACTTTTCAAAAGAGACTCAACTGAATCCATCGTTTATGACATTTTTCCTTTTATATTTCAAAACTAAATTTGCCTGTTCTGGGGCTGAGTTCCGTGTGTTCCCAGCATCTTTCCAAATACCGCTGGTCAACGGGGAGATTCCCAGCTGTTTTGAAGATTGAAGACCGAAGTCGAGCAATCGTCGAACGACAATGGTGTTAATCACAGAAGGATTAATCTGCACGTGTGGAAATACATGTGACGTGACATTTGTTCCACCGGAGTTTTACGAAATTCGAAATTTCGGGTCGGAGCACCCCGTTAAACATTTGACCTGACTGGATTCGGCATGAACGGTAAGGTTTTACGGCTTGGAAGAATTTTAGCTATTCGCAAAGACGGTAACTTGTTGTGTCTGCGTGGGTAGTGTTCAAAGTGAACCTCTGTTGACCATAGCGCCATCGAAAAATGAAACAACATACAAGGCGCAGACATGAATTCAAAGGATTTGCTCTACGTACCGGAGCTACCACTGTAACGGTGATACTACTGATGGGGAGGCACGCGAGTAGGATGTGTTACTCGCGGAATTTCGATATGCGTCTTTTGAAAAGGGGAGATCTGTTGCGGAATTCGTGAAGTCGCTCTTCCTCTGACACTGTTCTTCGCTGATCGATAGGTGACCGGAAAGTTAGCGGTCACTGGTATTGCAATGATTTTGCATGAGCAACAGGAATGTGTGCTTTCTGCGTTGAAAACAACAACGGTCAGTCCCGTCAGGACAGCAAAAATCAGGGTCTACATTTGCATGTAAGGTTTCCCGTCCCAATATGAGCAAGGAAGACAGCTGCGAAATTAAAAATTCCGTCGATTAGATTCAGCTTGTAAGAAGCCGCAGAGCTTAGTGAGTTGTTTTTAAAGCTTCAGAAATAGTCAACAAACTTTGGATCAATTGGACAAAGTCTGCAATCGATTGAGAAGTCATCGTTTCACGGGTGGACAACAAGCTGCCAACCAAAAGTTTATGAAACGACCATCTTTCAGACAAATCGATTTACTTTTCAAAAGAGACTCAACTGAATCCATCGTTTATGACATTTTTCCTTTTATATTTCAAAACTAAATTTGCCTGTTCTGGGGCTGAGTTCCGTGTGTTCCCAGCATCTTTCCAAATACCGCTGGTCAACGGGGAGATTCCCAGCTGTTTTGAAGATTGAAGACCGAAGTCGAGCAATCGTCGAACGACAATGGTGTTAATCACAGAAGGATTAATCTGCACGTGTGGAAATACATGTGACGTGACATTTGTTCCACCGGAGTTTTACGAAATTCGAAATTTCGGGTCGGAGCACCCCGTTAAACATTTGACCTGACTGGATTCGGCATGAACGGTAAGGTTTTACGGCTTGGAAGAATTTTAGCTATTCGCAAAGACGGTAACTTGTTGTGTCTGCGTGGGTAGTGTTCAAAGTGAACCTCTGTTGACCATAGCGCCATCGAAAAATGAAACAACATACAAGGCGCAGACATGAATTCAAAGGATTTGCTCTACGTACCGGAGCTACCACTGTAACGGTGATACTACTGATGGGGAGGCACGCGAGTAGGATGTGTTACTCGCGGAATTTCGATATGCGTCTTTTGAAAAGGGGAGATCTGTTGCGAAATTCGTGAAGTCGCTCTGTAACTTTTGCTTGGATTTGAGCGAGGAATGATTGGAGTCTATAAATATCCAGGAAAGTTCAAGAAGACGCGTTCAGGAGAAGATGGATGTCTAGTTTTTGTAAATAAGATACAAATGAGAGTTTTGCGTCCCTGTCCAATGGCCTGTAACCGGTCAGTTGGCATTTCCTAATAAGTGACTCCGCAGCGAAGGCCTTCTTCCTTTCACCACTATTCCGACACACTAAAATTCAGACTAGGAATTGGCCTGTGAGCTTGTCAGTAGAACAACGATCGTTGTTCTGCACGATAAAGACCCCCGACTTAGCGGAACCATAGATACTAATATCCTCATGTGCTTATCTCCAAACTAGTCGACCAGAACCGGAATTCAGTGCCGAACTCCGATAGGAGAGCAGAATAATCAACAGATCAGTGGACCGTTCTTCCGACCAGTTAGCCCTTATGTGATTGGTTTGTGAAACAGAGGACGTGCCATTCGCTACATTCTGTAGTCCACTTAACCTGAGAAGATTTTATTCACTAAGCTTCGCCAGCTGTCCATTCGCGGGCGTCGTTGCTAAACCATCGTATCACTTTTTTTAAATGTTGTTTCCTTTGCGGCCTCTGGCTGCTCAACGTGTGCGATAACTTCTGTCACGGCAGTTGTTTTCATGACATTCATGCGGATTATAGTGCCACGTGAAGCTAACACGGACTGTGAGTCTGCCCACATCGTTGTTCTTTTCCATTCCCTGCTTCTGTTAGCTTGCCCCTCAGCTGTACTACCCATTAGCTCGTCAATAGCTCCTACAAAATGAGTGTACTGTCGTCTCCTGAAATAAGGCAGGTATACGTTGTATGAACATTCACAAGCAAATAGTTTTATCGCATGTAACCATGCACCATGTCAACCTGGAAGCGACTGTTAAAGGCAGCACGCGACTCACCGAAATTGCGGAAGGACATAGTCCGCAGCTCGTGCGGCTTCCCTGCCTTCCTTACCGTAGATACCTATTCCGACATTGGCTTGCAAAATCATTGATACATCGTTTCCTCCGTCTCCAATAGCAGCGGTTACCGGACGGTTCGCATCTTTCAGACCCAGATGAACCAGTTCAACCATGGACGCCTTTTGCATAGGTGACATGCGGCAGCACAGTACGGTAGTGACGTTCATGCATAGATCCAAAAATGCGGTGCGTAATGATGGCTGAAAAGGTGGACAGAATTTCTGTGAGCTTTGTCCAGAGACATCAGAAAGTCCACTCGTCTTTTTCAAATTCCGATTGATCAGTATGGCCCCAAGCCTAAGCCGTATATAATCGACCAAGACCAACTTATTTACTGGTTTGACGATAATGACGCTGAATTACTGAGCGACTGACTACTAACAAGTAGTGCGGAATTGCATGATTGCGGCTTAGGATCACACTGGATATCCAACTCGATTGTCAGCTACAGTAGGTTTGAAAAGCGGTGCATGAATATCATTCAAACGTTACGTTTTAGGACAAACGCTTGTTGTGGAAAGAACTAATCAAAGGGAAACCTGTCTAGTGACACACAGTCGCACACGCCATGGAACACGGACACTTCACGGTGGACAAGTGCTAAGTTCTTGATGCTCGTCTCCATGGTCATCAATGAAACTACAGAGGGTTATCTCGATTTCATACAAGCCACAGTAATAAAACCATTCCAGATTACGCTCGGTTGGAAAGCTTTTAGTTCATTCTACTGCATGACGAATCTATCTTTGTTAGGTTAAAAATTACTAAGGCCAAAGCATAAAACAGAGGTGATAATTTTCATAAAGGAAACTATTCACAAGGTTGCTGAGAACTCTCGACTGCGCNGAGCTCCAGAAGGGTGAAACTGGTCGTGGGCTGTCGAAGAGTTTTCAGCGACCTTGTGAGTAGTTTCCTTTATGCAAATATACTGTGCCAACTGAAACATGAGGCAGCCTGTGTGCAGCTTATTCAGTTGTAGAACAGCATAAATGAGAGATTCAGTTGAGTCTCTCGTGAAAACCAAATTGATTTGAAAAGACTGTATTTCTCGAAAGACATGATAATTCCTGGTTATCCGAGCTAAAAACTTATCGATCGCTCTGGTCAACAAAACGGATGCGCAAATCTACAATTCGGGCAAAAAACCTATTGTTTCCGCGTTTTGCGGTCGTTACAGAATACTTTGACCGTCTATTCGCGTGAACAGATGGTAAAACTCACATGTAGCGCATGGACCAAGCTAGCACCATCGACCACCAGGCCAACGGATTCCCCCGAGGCCCCGGGCTTCTTTCGACCCCTGCGACCGGGCACACGATATGTCGGTGATCGCACATCTGTCTCACTACTATACTGAGTTATTTTTTCACGGAATCTTTTCAATTTTCTTCTTACGCTTTTGATGTTGACAAAGTCACTTTTCTTCTTGTGTGGATCAGGTGCGATTGCAAATTGCGCCGCAGTGCAAACAACTTCATCGATTTCGTCCAACGTGGGACTCAACCATCTCATGCCGGCAGACACTTTCGATTTGCTTTTTGGCCAACACTGATTTAGTCGGGCTTGCTCATATCTGGCATCCAAGCCTTGGAGGTGCTTGAACACCAATTCAGCGACTGAAGTGAAATCGGTGCACCCGGTTATACGTAGTATTGTCATTGATTCCGGGAAGTGTCCAGCCGATTGACTGACGGTGATTGCTGTCTCCTCCTTGTCACCAGTTAGTACCCAAATCTGGAAATGGAAGATCTCAATCAATTTGTTTTAAAAAGACTTAGGAGATGGGCTGTCTCCTCCTTGTCACCAGTTAGTACCCAAATCTGGAAATGGAAGATCTCAATCAATTTGTTTTAAAAAGACTTTAGGAGATGGGAACATAAACCACGCAAGATAACAGAGGAGCTCGCGAGACAAGGACGAAACTCACATCGGATTTTGTATATCACGTGGAAGTTAGCTGTATTGCGATTTGAAGACGAATTGGTGATATCCGTTCACGGAAACCTGTCATCGGGAGTTGGACAAGTACGATTGTGCAGTCGCATTTGTATATTCTGTACCGCGGTTTGAGCACCGACGCCTTTTTCGGTATCCGATATTAATAGTGGCATAATATGACTTATACATTATACTTAAGCAAATTGTCTGGTATCTCTCAGTCTACGCTGATCCTACCGAGCGTTTTGCGATAGCTGATATGCTTTCATTTTGTACGCGTAGAGACTAACTTCCAGCAAGGACGGGGATTGTTGAACACGTTCTATCATCACGTGATGCAAGGAACGACTTTCACAAGAGTAGCCTGGAACGGGTGGGTACTCAACAAGATGGGTTCCTATCAAAAAAACTTCGGACGGTAATAACAAGTACAGTGAGTTAAAAAGGACACCAGAGGAACATCACAGTAACTATACGACGCAATTCAACCATAACAGACGTATGATCCACTCGCATTTGAGCGAGGAGTTAAGAAAACTTGGGTATGCCTTATGAGGCTTACCATAGTACATCACGCAGAGGTGAATCGGCTGAAATCAGACGGTCTTGGTCCACCCAGGTTAGCTCAGGGAAGATCTGAATTGGGTAACGCGGCGCACAGATTTTGTGTAGGTGTCAACTGCGCAAGCCCCCGGATAACATGCGAGCGACGGGAAAGTGGTAGTTTTGTATGCATCACTTTCGGTATATGCCACGTTAAGAACAGCAATCGAACAAATTACCAGTCTTGAATTTTACTGAATGAGAATGGTGGACGGCGGAGATGTACATGAACCACAAAGGTTTAGACAATCAACGCAAAGATGATGAAATTGTATATCTTTGTAATGTACTACTCATAAGTTTGCTGAAATTTTTTGGACAGCCCACGACCGGTTTCACCCTTTTTGGGACTCATCAAGTAGGCGCCGTCCCCGGATTTCCGTCAACCTTATGTTCCACTTGATGAAACTGTGTAATAGGATAAACAGCTCTAGACACATGTTTGATTTAGACTGGTAAAAGAAAGAACTTTGTACGTCCACGTAATGTGAAAGAATTAAGTGCAAATCCTAAAGTACGTTCTCATCAGATTAAAACGAGTGAGTCCTAATTTCTGCTTCCACAAAGCGTGAGCTTCAAACGCAATAACTGCCCTATCTGTCCACCTGATCTGAAAAGATGGTTCCTTCCAAACAGCAGTTCTATTATTTTGAATGAGTGGGGTAAACGGTCTTCAGCTGGGGCCTTTCTTTCACGAACGTTTAATGCATTACTTACTAGCAGCATCGACTACCAGCATTTTGTCACGCGGACAACTGATACTACTTCCACCTCGAATGTGAAAACTTTGTAGGTTTCGTGAGATCAATAAGTTATAGAACAGATTTCATCCGACCCGTTTGCTCAGTTTTCAGCTGTTTATGTACGATATCTGTATGACATGAGTAATATGGGACAACTGCGCAAAACTCCGCAGACTGCCCAAGTCAGGTTTCGACCCCGCTTGGATTTCATCAGGTAGGCTCGTCGCCGAAAGCGTAGATCATCCCTCCCTGAATTGAACAGAAATCTAATCGGGTGGTTTCCTTTTTTGAACAAGATGCTTGAGCTGAAGACTCGATGGAGTCTCCTACATGCAACAGTACATTATGCAGTACACATTACTTCCCAAATATTTTGTGTGCGAAATGTTCCAACACGGTAGTTAGTGGAACTCATTCAAAGTAGACCTCATAATAATCTATTAGAACGGTTACTGAAGCAAACTCCGACAACTGTGACTTCAGAAATGGCGAACAAAATTGGCGCGTGCTAACTGCAGCCAGCTTAAACACCCCAGGTCTTATGGTTTTACTTATACTTAAATCGATTGTACCTATCTGGATCGCCGGTCATTCTTCAGCTTGTCCTGAAATCTTCAAGAGTGCCGCTGACCTCATCAGTTTTATTCAGTTCGTTACGTGATCAATACCCATTACTAACTGAGCCGTTTCCCATCACAGTGGTGCACTGGCGAATATGTATGTGACCATAACAGTTTCGTGAAACAATTTACCACGCGTACGATTTCGCCCAGTGTGATGTTCTCACTGGACATAATAATAATAACATAATAATCGCACTGGCGAATATGTATGTGACCATAACAGTTTCGTGAAACAATTTACCACGCGTACGATTTCGCCCAGTGTGATGTTTTCACTGGACATAATAATAATAACAATAATAATCGTTCAGCTGTAGCACCCTTCCGGTGGCTAGCTGCCATGCCACCTGAAGGAAGCACGAGGGCTGGGATACTGCCAGGTTTCCCAAGCCTAGACAGGGGAAGTCGAGAGGCGGAGGTCGGGTTCGAACCACGGACCTTCCGGTCAGTAAATTCGCGCTCTAACCACCTTAGCCATCTCGCCCTCACTGGACAGCAATTGGACGTCTATTGCTTACAAATATTAACTGCACCTCTTCTGTTTTCTGCTCGAGATTAACCGGACAAAAATGCTTGCAAACTCTATCTGCAAGTCTGAGTTGAGTCATGACAACTGAAAATGCATCGTTCAGTTGAAGTACCCTTTCGGTGCCTAACTACTGTGCCATCAGAAGGAAGCATGAGGGCTGGAATACTGCCAGGTTGCCCAACCCTAGACAGCGGAAGTTGAGAGACACAGGTCACGTTTGAACCATGGACCTTCCTGTCAGTAAATTCGCTGTCCAACCACTGATCAATCTCGCCCCCAAAAATCTATAAGGCCTTGGTGTTTTGAGTAGTCAACGTTTTTACTAAAATTGTACGTCGGTTTCCCATTCCGGAGGTTGGCACAGAGTTCCAATTTTGAAAGTTCAGTTGTCAGCAAGAGTAGAAACTGACTATCAGGAGGGCGAGATTCCTGAAAGTAACCTCAGAACGCCCGAAACCTACTACTCTACCGAAATCTCAACAGGAAAGCCGGGAAGCATCCAGGCCAGTCAATCATTCGATCAATTCAGCGAAAGCTGATGAGTGTTCATGCACACCACAGAAGCACGACCGAATGTGATCAGCGTTCAGGAAATTCATAGATGAACGATCGATGTTGATGTGTGTTCACTAACGCCTATCGGACAGCCTGGATCAATGTCAGAAAGTCCCGTTTAAATAGCGTGAAGCCGTTGTAAGTTTTGCTCTCGCACTCGCAGGTATTCACGCTCTCGCACTCGCTTGTTCGGAATAAAGCTGTTGTGTTCCCTTCTGTGAGTCTTTTTTCAGGCACTTGGCACTGGAGCTGGTCAGCAGCAGATACCACAGATTGACGAATCAGCAGATATAACAGTGACAATCATATCCCTGAATTCGACGGACTTGTATGAGGCCTATTAACATGGGTTATTTTTGAGGCTTTTAAGTATACAAGTTACACCGAGTGTGACCGTCTTAGACCTGCTACGAATTACTCTCATCAACAAATGCTTGCGGTGCTAGAGTACACTTCGGGACCAAATCATTTGAAGTTTACCTGTATTCCAGCCGCTCTGAGGTTTTCTAAACATTCCTTCACTCCTATTTGTAATTTATCCTCGATTCCGGTTACAGCTAGTAGCTCAAGACCCGATTCAATTCGTTCAGTGCTGGCTCGTAACGCCTCACGCCTGGCCTCCCCGAGTCGACTCAGTGCCATGCGACGTTCGTCCAATAGCTGTTGATATTCATCTTGAGACAACTGTTTTGTTGCAAATACCAGGGTCCGGAGTCCAGCCGAAGCAATTTCATTGACCCTTTCCAGTGCTTTTGTTCGAATCTCACTACTTGTTCGGCTACATAACTGAAAGGCAAACGGACAAAAATATTAAATGGTATTTCCATTGAAACACGGTAGCTTCTTCCAGGTATTATGCATGTTTGTTGTAAATTACTGGACATTCCACTGGCGATTTCTGCTACCTTATGGCGCTTTAAGTAAGTGTGTTCCCCGAGCTTTCATCTACCACATATATGTTTTATTTGAAAAAAATTGTATGCAAACGGTAATATGCAAACTCAGGTGAATGACATTTCACAAACTCTACCTCATTTCTTAGACTGCACAGTATTCGAGCTATCGCGGTATGTTTTCTTGTCCGAATTTATCACACATAAGGTTTTCTGAAAACTTTGACAGATCATTACTGATTTCCCCTGTTTAGGAGCCGTTCCCGTGGACGGAGTCTCCGGAGAGTCCTTTGCGCGCCGTTTGTAGTTATCAGTTGATTGCCTTTGTCAGTCGTTGTTGGTTGAAGTACCAAGTTCATATCAGTACATCAGTCGTTTGTCAGTGCTCACAGTTAGACCAATGTACTCCTAGAGACTCCGGTTCCAATGGGTTCTTCATTACCTAGGAGTCTATGTATCTTTTCTAACCTCCACTGCTTTTTAAAAAATGAAATTCACGGTTTCTACAACACCAATACAACTGTCCGACAAAACCACCGTGACACAATTATGGCGGACGTTTCGCATGCACGTTTCGCTCCAGTAAACCTGTTGAAGCCTGTGGAAATGCTTCTAAGGGGGTTTTAGGGAGAATTACGTGGAAAAGAGACCGAATTTTATGACACTGATCTGTGGAAAACTGAATGGTGATCTGGTTCATCGGTTATGCGGGTTTTTGGTTTTTAATGACCACCGTCTACTCGTCTCTTTCCCGTGGAATGAATGCTATGAGATCCTGCATACTTAGGGTTCTAACCTGCGTTGCACTCATCAGCATCGTTCTCACAAATCATTCTCCTCAGGGCTGTGATGAACATGTTTCGTGACGGGTAACGATAGTGGGAAAATTGGTTGGATCCGTGAGTTAAGCCGGTTGACATTGAACGTCAGGCGGGAGGGAGATCACAGAACAGAGTGCACATACGATCGCATATACGATGTCGACATCTGTTTACTGCTCCACAACATCCTCAGTCAAATGGACTTATTGAGAATCCAAACACTGCACTGAAATCTGCCATTATTCCATTCTCTCCCACTACTTTTGTGGAATAGGACCGTGGGATTGATAATTTTCTAATGCAATACAGGAATGTCGTTCATCCGTTACTGGGAAGAGTCCCGCGCTTCTATTTAAATCTCGTTCGTTGCGTACAAGTCTTGACTGTTCCAAAACGGCTGACGTTACATTTTTCAAGGGTAATGATTTACGACCTGCTACAGGAATAGTGCTTTCATCAAATGGCAAACGGATGGTCACAATTCTCGATTTGGATAACCTATCTTCTCATCAGAGACATAGTGATCAGGTCGAATTCAGTACCAGAGGTCAGTCTGTTAACGGCACTCCTGCTGTTTCAAATACCAATGAATCCTTTGTAGATGATTTTATGGTATCCCAACAGAACGTACCTGAAGAACATACAACCTGTGAAGAATCTGAAGTTTCCATTCCGAGAAGATCCGAAAGATTGCGGTCAAGACCACCACTGGACTATAAACATCCACACGCTCATTCAAGGTGTGGCGGATGTGATGAACA